CAGGAGCCAGGAGCCAGGAATTTCTTCTGGGTCTCCCACACGGGTACAGGGTCCCAAGGCTTTGGGCCATCCTCGACTGCTTTCCCAGGCTACAGGCAGGGAGCTGGAAGGGAAGTGGGGCTGCCTGGATATGAACTGGTGCCCATGTGGGATCCTGGCAGATTCAAGGCGAGGACTTTAACCACTACGCTATTGTACTGGGCCCCCTTTCTCTATTTTTAAAGAAGTATTTGTTTACTTGAAAGACAGTTATAGAAACAGAGATCTTCTATCTGCTGGTTTATTCCACAAATGGCTACTAAAACCCTGGCTATGCCAGGCTGAAGCCAGGAACCTGGAAATCCATCTCACATGGAACAGCAGACACCCAAGCACTTGGGCTGCTCTAGGCTGCTTTCCCAGGTGTGTTAGCAAGGAGCTGAATCCGAAGTAGAGCAGTTGGTGTCACAGCTGTGGTTTAAGCTAAAGTGACCCACACTCGCCTTCTTCTCTTCCCTTAAACAGTTAGAAGGAAGTTTAAAGGAATCTTGAGGGCAGATAATAAAAAAGGTAATTCCATGCAGCTCTTAGACATCTGCTTTTCAAAAGGTTAATTCTTAACTTTTAACTGCATGCATAAAATAATCTAGAAAGCTGTATAAAAATCAGTTCCTAGACTGGGAACTCCCTTTGGGGAATTCCCTAGCATGTACAGTAGTGGCTACAGCTATAGGACCAGCTGATGTGAAGTTCCCAGCCACTCTGGCTGCTGAGAGACCGGGAGATGGTCCAGGACCTGCTAATCAGGTGCTCCCTTACCCCACGCTTTCATGACATGAAGAAGCTTGATGTGCATAATTTTTATAGATATCCACTCACCTGACATTCCTCATAACCCAGGTTCCTTTCCCTGCTTCTAATATGGGACTGGTCATAAGTATTTTCTTGACTTCCTTTGTGTCTCGAGCTGGCTGCATGACACTTCCGGCCAAGGAGAAATAGGGAGAAGTGTGATGGGATTTCTTGGTGAACCCTTGTCGTATTGACAGAGGAGCCGATCCTTGTATCTCCTTCCAACATCTGCCTTGAATGCAAACATGATAGCTGGGGCTGTGGTAGGTATGTGGAAGATGAAATTCAAGTGGTGCTAAGCATTGCACAAATGGGCACTGGTAGCTACCTACAGTGAAGGCCATCCAGTGCAAGGAATAGCTCACTGAAATCAAAGTTTTCAGAAACAAAAGCTGTTGCCAGACAATAATAGGAAGGGAATTATAGAGAGAACTAATGGAGTCTAACAGCTGGGTACCTTGAGCAGCAAATAGCAAGGTCTTAAATTCTAGCTCAATGAACAGACCAAAAATCAAGGACTTTAGTGACTGTTATAGCAAGAATCTTTTGCAACCACAAACCAAAAGGAAGAGCATATTGACTATTAAATGCACAATTTTACTTGTCTTTTCGGTGATAAGAAGACACTGATTGGAATGAGTGGATATTGAGAATGGGGACAGGTGGTGCTGAAGACAAAACTTCCTTTATCACAGGAAGATTTCTCTATCCAAAGAGATGGTTCCTGCCATGTTTGCAGTGTTCTTGCTTGAGGGTCTCACTTTGCAAGAGAAATCAAATGCTCTTGAAACCTCCCTGCTTCTCAATGTCTGAGACACAAATGGAGCCATAAACCTGTAAGTATATCCTTTGTGTAATAAAGCCAACCAACTTGTCGTAAGAACTTATGCACCGAAGTAGTGGGAAGATCTTGCCCTTTGTTTAGGAAAAATTCCTAAGAATCAACATGTAAGTGGATTCTGAAGGTTCTTAACTAGGAAAGGAGGGAGAAGACACCTGTTTGTATGCTTCCTGAAGCAGAATGAGTAGTACTCACGGTTGGTTGGTTGGTTGGTTGGTTAGTTGGTTGGTTGGTTGCTTGCTTAAGAGGAACCTGGACTTAATGGAAGCCCAGGTGGACAGGAGTTGAATGGAATGGTGAACAGGAGTTGAGGTTCCTGAGATTTTATAATATAATGCAGAAGTAGAAATCTAAGGAAACAGGAGTGTTGTTTGGCTATACATTCACCAATGCTCTACCTACTCCTTTGTTAAAGCATCAAGAAATTTATTGGTAATGAAAGTGCACTGATATAGCTATTTTATGGATGTCTGGGAGGCTGTTGAGAGCTGCTGGAATTGAATGAATTCTCCCAAGTTTGCCAGAGATATAATTATCAGTAAGGGAGAAATTATCAGCAGACAGCATGATAACCATAGGCATTCCCAGGACCAGTCTGGAAGCCAGAATTGCCTGCACATCAACTGTCTCTGGTAGAAGCCAGCTGACCATGAGCCACTAGGACCAAAATATATGGGTAACCCTTTGTAGTCCTAGTTGATTTGTGTTACAGAAGTAAAAAAAAAAAAAAAAAAAAAAAGAAAGAAAGAAAAAAAAAAAGAACATTTCAGGTCTGGCTGAAGCTGCCTCAACTGAAAAGTGTTGTACTGAATCCAATTCTTGGGCCTGAACTTGAGTGTTAAAGAGATGGAAAATTCCTATTAGTTCCTCCATTTCAATCATTCAGTTGGTGTGGAAGAGAGAGAATAAAAATAGATTGTCGTATGCTTAATGTAGTGGTCACTTAAATACAGAAAGACCATAGAACCCCTGGCAAGGGTACTGAAGAGATGCTTTTCCTCCCCTCATTCCCAACAAAAATCCAGCAGCTGTTTTGCATTGTCTGGTGAGGATACCTTTCCTGTCGTGTAAGAGTTGGGTCAACTCTGGCTCTCTGCTGCAGTATATTTTTCACACTGTGTTAAACTTCCCGCTGTTATTTAGGACTTTGGTGTCTACCATATCAATGACACTGTGCTATGAGGACCACAGAGCAGGGATGGTAGTCAACCTATACGTGAGAACCACTGTGAATCACAGTGTCAAAAATAAGGTCCATGAATCTAGAGGGACCCAGGATCTCAGGGTAGCATTTGAGAGGGTCCAGTGGACTGGGTTGAGATATTTTCTCCAAAGCAAAGGATGTGTTGTTTGCACCTTACACTACCTCCTCCAGGAAAGAGAGGTTGATTAATTAGAGTTCCTCTTATGGAAGCAACATGTGTCAGCTCACAGTATGAATGAAAAGGGTGCTAATTTTGAAAAGGGGACCAGAGATGGAATAGAATCTACTTGGTCCGGGATGCAACACATCCTCTTCTGCCATCTCTAACTTAGTGCCTCCAGTGGTGTTCAGATGTGCCTGTCTGTGGCACTGGTGTAGGGTCTAAAATGCTGTCTATTGATGAGTTCAAAGCAAACACGCTGTACACTTCAGTAGGTTCTTCCTACTGCCAGCTTGGGATGTGGTGAAATGGTTACAGTCTGTAGCCATGTTGGATCCTGAGGTGGTCTTGGGAATAGACCCATGTCTAATGGAGGAGAAATACCAGAGCCTGGACCTGTGATGCTATAAACTAAATTCATTCTATTAACATAAATGAAATCATAAATGTTATTTTTACCAGAGGCCACACAGGTTAAGAAAGCACAGTTCGCATCCTAAGGAAACTGACAAGTGCGGCTAACTAAGAATTAGGCAAGGGTGTTGGGGCAGCTGCAGGTGTGATACTGAACATTATCCTGAGTGCAGGCTGGGCTGTGGGTCTGTAAGGACCCTGCAGGCAGTAACACCCTGACCAAGGAATGAGATGGCCTGGTGTTGAGGAAGGTGAAGCATTTCACCTAGGCCTGTGAAGTTAAGCGGTGTGAGAACTGCGTCACTCCTGTTAAGAGGTGTGGAAGGGGAGGGAAGCTAAAGTAGGAGATTGGACTTTATCCTGGGAACAGTAAGGGGCCAGCTGAGGAAATTTACATTTGGGAATAACAGGGTGAAAATCATTCTCCAGAAAGATCATTTGCAGCTGCTCAATGCACAGAGTGTGGAGAAAACAAGATGGGGGTGGGGTGCAATGCTGTGTTTTTTCTTTTAAATAAGCTTGGAGAAGAAGAAAATAAATGCACTGAGAAAAAAAAAAGTGTAGTGTCCAAGGTACACTTGGCCTTGAGTCAGTGGTCACACAGCAACACGACAAATTCTAATGAAGGGATCTGTTAAGGAAAAGAGAACAATCAGCAGTGCATGGGCAGTGTGAAAATGGGAGCCCGGGAAATCTCAGTTCCTACTTTGCTGCCCAGTGATGTTTTCAGACGGCAACATGGGTTCCCCTCTCCACCTGGAACGTTCGCTAAGCTCCCAGCACGCAGCCCAGGACACTGGAAGGAAGGGTGGGCCCCGGGCTGTCCATGGCAACTTTGCCGCCCAGCCAAAGCAAACCGGGAGCGTTCCCGGGCCGGCAGAGCACCCTAGCGAGTGGGGTGGACTGAACGTGGGAGGCTGTGCGCCCGCGCAGCCCGCTGGGCTCTGCGTTGCTGGGTGCGCCTCTCGCCTCCAGCTGAGCGCTCAGAGGCCATGGGCGCGGCAGGCGCACCCGGCGCTCGGTGGTTCCCTGACGGCCAGACGCGGGCGGAGCAGCGGAACCGTTCGCTTCCGTACCTTGAGTAGACAAACTTGACCTCAGGAAAAGAATCAAAAACACAAACCCTGTCTTTCGCATTTCTGGATTTAGAAATAAACATCGCCTCGGATGCCAGCCAGTTCGCAGCCGCAGCGACGTGAAGTTTTATTTTTAAAGAGAGGAAAAACTCGCAAAGTTGAACTTTAGTTTGAAATAGCAGAATTAACTCCTGCGACGCAAATAATCAGCTGCCGAAGGCGCACGGCTGGGAGCACGGGCGCCTAGTTGAGGGGGAGGGTGCGCGAAGGGTGGGAGGGAAGGCGAGGCTAGGGGCTGGGACGGCGCCCGGGCGCAGTGCAGGGGCGCGCAGCGCGCCCAGCCCAGTGCGGGGCTGGGGCCGGCCGGGGGCGCGCGGGGCCGGCGGGCGCGCGGGGGCGGCGAGCGCGGCGCTGCCAATCGCAGACAAAGGCCGCCCCAGTGAATCATGTGGTGCCGGGGGAGGAAGTGCTGCTTGTTTTCGTTCCTCCAGTCTCGGCGGTGCGGGCCGGCGGCGATGCGCGCAGACCACCTCGCGAGCTGCGCTGGCGAGGGCGGGGCGGCCCGGGAGCCCCGATGAGGCCGGAGCTTCCCCGGTCGCGCCGCAGCGCTCCCGGCCCGATGGAGGCCCCACCGTGGGAGCCGGGACACAACGGCTCGCTCCCGCCCACGCTGACGCCAGCCGTGCCCCCCTACGTGAAGCTCGGCCTCACAGTGGTCTACACCGTGTTCTATGCGCTGCTGTTCGTGTTCATCTACGCGCAGCTCTGGCTGGTGCTGCGCTACCGCCACAAGCGCCTCAGCTACCAGAGCGTGTTCCTCTTCCTCTGCCTCTTCTGGGCCTCCCTGCGGACTGTGCTCTTCTCTTTCTACTTCAGAGACTTTGTGGCGGCCAACTCGCTCAGCCCCTTCGTCTTTTGGCTGCTCTACTGCTTCCCCGTGTGCCTTCAGTTCTTCACCCTCACGCTGATGAACTTGTACTTCACGCAGGTGAGGTGCGGCAGCTGGAGGCGCTTGGCGAGGGGTGTGCGGAAGGGGCCGGGATCTGAGGTTGTGTCAGTCCTCTCTTGCCCCGGTTCCAACAAGTGGTGAGGGACGGGAAGGCGAGGCACCGCCGCGCTCATGGCCTCCCAACCAGCGCTTCCAGTGGGTCCTGCGCGAGGAAGCATCTCCTGCATTAGCTGGGCTTGGTGCTGATGGGTGGCGTGCCCAGCAGGGAGGGCCGACAGTCTAGACGGCTCATCCCAGGCGCTTTGTTCTGGGATGATCATCTGTGTCTTGACCTCCAGGTTGGGGCCAGACATGGCTTTTAGTTTTTGACTGGTGATGGGTGGACTGTGCTAGTTTTGATGCCTTGCTTTCAATTTGCATCTTAAAGAACCTTGCTGATCTGCCAGTCACTGGACACCTTGCACCGGGTGGCTAAACCATTTTGTGGGCTGACCCCCAGATCTGAGCTGCCTCCACAGGATGTTGGGCTGTCTGCCTGGTCTCACCTGAGAAGCCCCAAGAAAAAGCCATAAAACTTTACTGGGGGCTCTTTACAGGCACAATGTTTTATAAGGCATATTGTTCATCAGCTAATGGCATAGGCAAGAACGGACCTGGTGACTACTTAGCCTGTTTACTCGGGGAGGTATACTAATTGCAACACACTTTACAAATAGTGCATAAAACGTGGCACAAAGGTTTAATGACACCGTATCCTCCTCTTCTCCTGTCATCTCTTGCTCCCAGAAGCTTCCCAAGCTCAAAAATGTCCATTTTAACTAATAATCTGCCCAGAGGGACAGCACTAAGTGTGTTATCTGGTGAGAAGTTAAAAGTTGTGTCATGTGCTGGCTGAGGTCTTGTACAAGCAGACTTATTTTTTTTGTAAAAAAAAAAAAGACAAGGTATCTGTTTTTTCTAAAGAAAATCTCAGTGGGAGCCACTGATGCAAAAGTTGGAGGAATGGCTACAAAACTAGGAAGTGTAATTAGTAGATGTCTCCTTTTTAAAAGTCTTCTTCAGAGTCCAGTTCATCAGCAGCTTTTCCAGTCCATCAGTAACTCGTGTTCTGTCTGTCCAAGTGTTACCTTTAAGTCTACAAACCAGTTCAGGCAGTTGGCCAGGCTGCTGAGATGGGGCTCTGGGATTGGGTGGCCCTGGGGTGGTTCTGGCCGGATGCAGGAGTCAGGTAGGTTCTGTTAGCTCAGGAACCGTGTGTGGGGTGATGCTGCACCCAGAGATCTTGGCGCTGGGCCATGTGTGAGGAAAGGGAAATACAGGGCCCTGCCAGGACTCGATGGTCACATGCAGATTCCGCACCTAAGCTGAATTAAGAGCCTGGTTGCACATTTTCTGCACCATCTGCTAGCTGGGGAGTAAATGCTGAGCAAGGAAAAAAAGTGACCCAGTGGAGCCACTGTGGTGAGGAGGCACACAGTCACAGCCCTGGTCTGCTTTGTGCCTCCCAGATGGGCAGGCACCGTAGGCAAAACGTTTGCCTTGAGAGCCCAGAGTGCTGTCAGGAGAAGGTGGTGTGGACGTGCAGTGAACTATACCCAAGCTAGTCCTAGCTTCTAGACAAGAATGGGGGAGGGATGGTTGTAGAGGGGTCAGCCCTTTGATCTGCCCTAGCTGTGCCACTCCCTCCCTTTCTACTCTCTCCTTCCTCAACATAGGGTCTCAACCTCTGGAAGCCTCTGAAATGGGGGCGGGGGGGCGGTTGGAGAATTAGTGCTGCCTGAATCCATCCCAGAACACGTAGCTGTGAATTTTGGAGGGGAGATGGCAGCTTGCAGTATGACCCTAAGAAGAGTTCTAAGCAATTTGTTTTTGCTTAATCTTAGCAACATTCCTGGGGGGTGGGATGGGGGGTGGGGATGGAATATTCTGATACTGTTCTCAGCTGAGGCTGAGGTGGGAATTTGTGTCACAGTACCCTCAACTGTGAGGGTTGCTTGGAGTTGACAATGATCCTGTGACTTGGAAGGGGCTTTTCACCATTGAGGCCCCTTTACTCTGCTGTGGGCCAGCCCATCTTTCTCAGTTAACCTTCATGACAATCTGTAAAGAGGGCACTGTCCCCTTCCTGCTGAAGTTCAGAGAGATGAGGCAGTGTGTGTGTGTGTGTGTGTGAGAGAGAGAGAGAGAAAGAGAGAAGCTCAGGAGCACACAAGCTCTCATCCCCCGTCACCTGCAATAGCTGGGGCTGGGGTGGGTGGGTCAGAAACCGAATTTGTTGAGCCATTCCTTGCTGCCTTCGGGAGTGCATTAGTAGAGCCAGAGTCAGGAACTGGAGGTTGAAATTGACTTGGGCACTGTATGTGTTTAGCCTGAAATCAAGCAATTAAAAAAAAAATCACTTAAATCTATGTATATATGTATGTATGTGTGTGTTCACCGTCCGGGAGCGATGGATTTGGTGTAAAGAGCCAATAATCATACTTAAGTGGACTAGTGTGATGGCCAATAGCTGAAGTTTGTTAATAGCCTCAGGCTTTTTTTAAAAAAAATTATTTATTTATTGGAAAGTCAGATATACAGAGAGGAGAAGAGACAGAGAGGAAGATCTTCCATCCGATGATTCACTCCTCAAGTGACCACAACAGCCGATGCTATGCCGATCCGAAGCCGAAGCTCTTCCGGGTCTCCCACGCGGGTGCAGGGTCCCAAAGCTTTGGGCCGTCCTCGACTGCTTTTCCCAGGCCACAAGCAGGGAGCTGGATGGGAAGTGGAGCTTCTGGGATTAGAACTGGTGCCCATATGGGATCCTGGCACACTCAAGGCAAGGACTTTAGCTGCAGCGCCACGTCGCTGGGCCCGCCTCAGGCTTTTTAAAAGAGGTGGTCCCGGGCTCAGCGGGCTCAGCGTGGTGGCCTGGTGGCTAAAGTCCTTGCCTTGAACGTGCCAGGATCCCATATAGACACTGGTTCTAATCCCGGCAGCTCGGCTTCCCATTCAGCACCCTGCTTGTGGCCTGGGAAAACAGTCACGGATGGCCCAAAGCCTTGGGACCCTGCACCTGTATGGGAGACCCAGAAGAGGTTCTGGGGTCCTGGCTTCAGATTGGGTCAGCTCTAGCCATTGTGGCCACTTGGGGAGTGAATCAATGTAGGGAAGATCTTCCTCTCTGTCTTTACTCCTCTCTGTATATTTGATTTTGCAATAACAATAAATAAATCTGAAAAAAAGAAGAGGTGGTCCAGTGCGTATCAGGGAGGGGGTGTTTAGGAATTTACATTTCAATGACAAAAGGGAGTCGCCTTTCCTTGATTTGATAGTTCCCATTTCCCTTCCTATGGGAAGGGAAGGACCTCTCTTTGTTTTGTATGTGCCATCAGTTGTTCTCATTCAAATGGTATACAATCAATTCTCAAGCAAATGATATTAAATCAACTGTCCTCCCATGTATATTTTTAAGTTTATTTGAAAGACAGAGAGACAAATGGAGATTTGTGCATTAGCAGGAAGCTGGGATCTGGGACTTGAATTTGATAAGGGATGTGAGTATTGCAAGTCACAGCTTAACTGCTGCACCAAACAACGGCTTCTCTAATTCCCTTGGTGATTGGAACCTTAGAGTCAGGCCAGACCTGCAGGCAAGGCACTTGGCAGGCTCTGAGGTGTTGAGGTTTCAGGGCAGGGACTCAGAAGCAACGGCTGGCAGCTTCTGGGCCAGGGTAGCTGCTGAACAGGCTGGTAGGTCTGTCTGTAAACAGGAAGGTCACTTATGGTAGTGGGCATGGCCACATCTGGGCAGCCTGGGCAGAGTTCACAGTGTACAACTCAGACTCCCGAGGCTCCTGAGTTGGGCTGAATGGAAAACCACAGCCTTGTCTTGACCAACTCCTTGTGACCAACTCCTGCTATTCCAGTCAGCTAGTTTGAGAAAGGAAATGGAGAAGTGAGCCCTACCGGGGGGAGGAAGGTGATGAGTAACATACAGTCTGGAAGTCAGAGCCACACCATGTTTTGGAGGACACACGTGGGAAGCTGGCATTTACTAGGGTCTGATGTGGTCCGCATCTGGGCATTTGCCCACTTGGTCGCATCGGGGATGCTATGTTGTAGGGTGGTGCCAGGAGCGCATAGTGAGGCCCTGAGGTTCTTGATGGGTGTTGGAGCTCATGGAGACACCAGCCAAGGCTTAGGAATTGGGAGATAATAGTGACAGTGCAAGAAGTGGGGAAAGTGGATAGAGCTGGGTGTGAAACCCAGCTTTGCTCCTTGTATGGGTGAGAGCAGTTTTCTGAGTTCCCTTAAGCTGTTGCTTGACCAGGGAAGGAAGCCATCGTGTGTATTGCAGTGGCTGGAGCAGGCCAGAGAAGACCTTCTGGACTCTTGGCTTAGGCACTCCTCCTTCACCTCTTTGCAGCTGCGAAGCCAGGCTCCTGTGGAGATCCTGGGCTGCATCCCAGACCGTATCCATTGCTCAGGTCTTGCAGCCGCTCTTACCCTTTTTTTTTAACCAGCCCACAGTATCATCAGAGTGACTTTTCTCACTGCATTGCCACTTTCATATTTGTAAAATGTCAATGAGTCCGGCATGTTGTATGGGAGACTGTGGCCAGTCACCAGTCCTAACAGGAACGGCTGAAGCAAAGAGCAGGGGTTGTTGCAGAGCCAACTGCTCAGCTATTTGCTGTGCAGGCAAGTTGATCATGGTATGGAATAGTTTGGGGACTGTCTGAGATTCATGGGCAGCATGCAGAGTCAAGCCAAGGCCCTTTGCCTCTGACTGATCCATCCAATGTTTGTGGCACAGGCCACATATCCACTTGAAATGCATCATGGGCTTCATCCTTGCTGTTAGGGAAATAGGCAATAACTGAAAATCAAATCCAGGAACTTATTTTTCACCTGTACGAGGAAAAGTGGAAAGTGGGTGATTATAGCATTAAGTGCATTTTGCTGTGATTCTGTGCAAGTATATTTAATCAGGAAATATTTATCAAAATACCTGCCAGGGGCCCGGCTCTAATTCAGAAAGTGAGCAGACAGAA